ATATATATATATATATATACATATATACACATACACACACACACGTATATATAGTATTAACTTCGCAGATTAACTTGGCTTTCTAGAAAATAATTTTAATTGTAAGAAACTTAATGGCAATTAAAAATATTTGAGCACTAAACTATAATTTATCGAAAATATGCAGAACTACTTGGATTGTAGAAGTGGACAGGGAATAGCAAAATAAAATTTTAATTAAAAATTGTAACAAATATTCAAGAAAAAAGTTACAGACAGTTATAAAAACTGAAATTATAGGCAATGATTTATTCTTTCTGTATTTTCTTTAATTTTTATTTCAAAAGAAATATAAACGTATCAAATTAGGATAAACACATAAGTGAAAGTAGAAAATAAAAGGAAAGCATTATATTCATACTGCCTAGAAATACTATTTAGTGTCATATTTTAGATTCTAGATCTACATTTCTGTATTTAGACTCACTATATTTTTCTAAAAAGAAGTATCACTAGTTTGTCCAAATCAGGAATCAATCCAGGATTGCATTTCACATACCTATGAAGTCTTTTTTTTCGTTAACAGTTACTTATAAAATTTACACCATTAAATGAAATTCACTACAAAGTTGTCTTATAGAGTATTCCCCTTTCTTGGATTTACTGTCTGCTTCTTTGTGCTTATTTATTTTTAAGAGAAAATTCTGGAAGTATATGAAGGATTTTCCCTCTCAACATGTCCAGGCAAACATTCATGTACAACTTCAAGGTGCAGAAACTGTAAAAGTTGTAATTCTTCATTTCTCCAGTTTGTATCTCTACCATTTTTGAAGAGGGGTAAGAAAAGAACAGACTCCAACCACAAGAAAAGTTATAGAAAAATATTGAAAATAAATGTTAACTAAAAAAATTCAAAAATTATTTATACTGTTTTAAATATTTAATTTTTATTATCATTACCAACTTAAATAGTAATTACATGATAATTAACCTTCACCAGATTAGGATTGAACGATTAGGTGTCTTAGTCTGTTCTATTGGAAACTATCCTTAAAAAAAGATTAGTAAAAAAAACCAAGATGCAGCATCTTTCTAAATGTACAGTGTTGTTAACATGAATATATATTTTTATAAATTCATACTACCAATTTTCTTACAAAATATACAAGCTGTAAATATGTAATTAACAAAGTGTTGAACACTATTTTCAATTATATATAAAACTTTTTGCAATAAAAAAATTGAACAAAAGAAACAAAGATACAACCTTTTCTGGAATCCTGACTTTTCAGGGTACATTAGGCACTTGAGCTGAAAATGATCGCTTTGGTTGAATATATAAAATATTTTCTGAAATACATATTTAACTGGCATATACAAAAATCTGTCACACAAAAACACATTACAATGATGAGTTTGTATCTATACTATAGTTTAATTTTCTCAGCATAGATTTTTATATCTCTAGAAAGTCCTATTTAGGAAAATCTAGTTTAATTACAGCAACATTTCAGTATGCTATAGTACTTTGAGCTGTCAGGAAACCACGTTAGGGATGAACTACTTTTGTAGATTTTTCTGCAGTTTTGTATGAAAATATTACATCCATGATTTTTAAAAGACTTGACTTCATTTATAGAAGTAGCTAAACAGATTTTTTTTCAGTAGCTCTTTAGAATTCTAAGGTTTTATTTGGAGTTATCCCTTATCGTTATTTCTGATTGATCTTTGAGCAAAAGTTTATTTTGCAAGTGCAAGTAATTTTTTCTAAGAGAAGGTAGCTCTATATAATAGGTTCTTTTAAATCAAAATATATGTTATAAAATGCTTTATTATGGACAGTATAAGTGTGTAGGGAATTCTTTCTGTTTTGATATCAAGCGTGACTTTATAGTCAAATATTTATTATGTGTTTTGCTTCATGTTATTTGCTATGACATGTGAAATAAATCTTTTTCAGGAATCTGACCACTGTAAATTCATAGGTACTGACTTACTTGAGAATGAGAACTTAAAAACTGCAAATATTACTCTTTATGCAAGGAAAATCTATCTTCATAAACAGTGATCAGTTTTAAACTATATCTTTCCTTAAAATACATTAGAAAAACATTTAAATAAAATTTCTAATCTCTTCTTTGGTGCATTTAAATCTTTTCATGTAATATTTAGAAATATATCACATATACTCTGATGCCTAGACATACTTCTAAATTGAATACATACTCCTGTTATCATCACTCTGAAAATGTCTAACCCAATTCCCTTTCTCTTGCCAATTATTCTACCATTGTTGTCCTTATCAGAGTTTCAAAGAGTGCTTTTGACAGCAACAACTCTCTTATTGATTGGTACCTTTACTTCCCAGAGATGTGAGGATTCGTGTGTTTCTAGATTACTCACTTCTGTTTAGAACAGTGGTTCTCACCTAGGGTGATACAAACAGATGTTTGGCAATGTCCAGAGACATTGTCATGAGTGGAAAGTGGACATACACTGGTTTCTAGTGGGTAAAAACCAAGGGATACTGCTAAACATCCTAACATTCATGGGAGAGTCCCACAATAAACTAACATCCAGCCCAGAACGTCAGTAGTGCCACTGTTGAGATTTGAGAAAATACTGAAATAAAATTACACACTCCAGAAATCTTATTCAAATTCATTTTTTTAAATTTATGGATAGTAGATACAAATAATTTTAAATGTTTAGGTACCAGTTTTTTTTTTAAGCACGTTTTTAGTTTTGTTACCAAATTTTATAGTTTTTCATCAAATGGCATGTTGTGGCTGCTCATCCCCAGACTAGTTGTATATATACGTGGCGTATTAGTTCAAAACAAAACAGGATGCTGCAATTTTGCCATGAGGAAGGTTTTCTTACGGCCTTACTGCACTTTTATCTACTTTTCCTTTAAATGACTAAATTTATGAAATGTGCATAATTACCTGGGCAGCTGGTCTTTTTCTTCCTTTTGTGTTTTCTTTCTTCATATCTTTTTTTTTTTTCAATTTTGATTGGCAGAACTCCCCTGATTGCTGCTGGAGTCATTGGTGGCCTCTTCATCCTGGTCATAGTAGGTCTGACATTTGCAGTTTATGTTAGGAGGAAGAGCATCAAAAAGAAAAGGGCCTTAAGAAGATTCCTAGAAACAGAGGTGAGTTATTTATTGCTTTTTTTTAAAAACCCACTTATTTAGAGAATTTCATTAGACTTGAGATTTAGTTGATGCTGTTTTTTTAATTCATGTGAAAATTCTGCTCAATTTCTTGATGAGAGTTTTGTTTTGTTTGTATTTTATTCAGAACTGCTGAAGAAGCAGGGTATCTAGTAAAAGTTAGTCAAAGTAGGTTTACTGTTTAGAGAGAATAAGAGGAAATTTGTTGGGGAAAAGATTGGGATTTTGTTTTTCCCAGTGGGAATTTCCATTGGCAAACTTTTGTTACAGGATATCTCAATAGCAACTGAACTAGAAAGTATCTGGGTAGAGGCTATCTCATTGGTAAAAGTAGAAACACATCAGAATGAAATGAAAATTTTCTGTTTCAAAATATAGCCAGATAGGCAAGCAATGTGTACTATAATTAGGATCATTAAATCAGTAGCCAATGATCTTATTATGTCAGCCATGAAAGACTGAGCTTACAGAATAAAGCTTAGTGTTGTAATCACGCAGAACTAACAACACGATTTATGAGACGTATTTAATATTATGCATGGTGGTTATTGTGAATATGTAAATTACCCATAAATTATTATAATTCCTTCTATATTGCCACACTGAGCTTGCAAGCTGTTAGTTTTTATTGTACAGGATACAGAAAAAAAAGCACAATTACAGAAGACTTTACATTACCAGACCCTTCTCAACTCCACTCTACTTCTGTCCCCTGAGACCCACATCTGTGTCAGCCTGAACAATTCAGCAATTCTGTTCTGGGTGTTAGACTACCTAGGTTTTGTTTTCTCTCATCAGTGTTACAATAACCTGAATTTTCCTCTTACCACTAACAATAATGGGAGTGTTCATTCTTCCATAAGTTTTACACATTGATAATGAAATATATTAACTCCTTTCCTCCAGAATTTGAAAGTATGTATAAAAATCATGTGAAAGCTTCAGGAAACTAGTTTACAGCTACATATAGGAAAATACATTTTAAAGTTGGAGTTCTCTGAAATTTGAATGTGATGTCTAATAAATACTCTTGTTCAATCAAAATAAAGAGAATAAAATACCTACCTGAGAAGATTTAGTAGTGTCATGTTAAATGTTACTTAGAAATGATCAACTTGATTGCTTTCAAAACAGCACATGTGAATGAAAGTGGGGAGACTGCATGTGTGTTGTGCCCATATTTTGATTTACCTGGGTGGTGAATTGTGCTGAAGGAAGATAAAGTTCTTCCTCATAGCCAGGTTAGAGCAGCTAATGAGAGAATTATGAAAAGGTGGGCAACTAAAGAAGGGTAAGAACAAAAAAGGCTTGGAATACCAATGGACATTTAGGTGATTGAAGAAATAGAAAAGAAATTCTGTCTTTTAACCATGTGCAAAAAAGTATTTTTACTATGAAAAGAGTTACATTGTTTCACCTTCTTTTGATACTGTACCTTCTAAGAAATTGTCATTTTATTGCTAAATAAGCATACCAATTGGTTTCTTAGAAGAATTAAGTTATTGCTTAGCACTAAATTGTTTTATATTTTCAGGATAGGTAACTATAGACTTTCCCATCTTTCTCCTAGTAAAGGTCCAGTAATTAGAATTTTCAACCACCATCCAAATAGATTAGAAATTATTTATCTGTATGCTTTTTGTTTGTTTGTTTGTCTATTATTTGAGACAGGTTTTCCCTATGTATTTCAGACTGGCGTTGAATTCACTATGTATCTCAGGTTAGCTTCAAACTCCAAGTGATCCTCCTGCCTCAGCCTCCATGTGCTGGGATTACAGGAGTGCACTATTATGCCAGGCCAACACTAGAAATTCTTAAGAGTAACAGTTTAAATCTATAAATACTAGAGGTAGAAATCTGCATCAGGGGTGAAAAATGTTTGAAAGCCTGATGTATTGTTGAAATACTTTTAAGATTAAAAAACTTTCGCAGAATCATTTTGCTTCACATTGTCTTTCTTCTGTTATTTGCATAAAAGTAGAAAAGATATTTTTCAAAGCCCAAATACTTAGATACAAGTGTGATGTATCAGTAAATACTTTGATTAAAAAATACTTTAGGAGGACACGATCATATCCCTTGAAGAATGACAGATTGAGTGCCTAAAATGTGCCTGACAATGTTCCAGAATTTCCACCTATGTAGTCTAATTTCACCCTTTCATGAACCTCTAATGTGGTTATTTCTACACCTGTTTCTCAGATGGGAAATGAGGGTGTCAAGAGGGATGAATTGCTTTCTACCCCTGTGCGTTTGTAGCAGGAGCGTACACCCCTCCAAGCTTCAATTCAGCCTCTTTCTACTCTAACATTGCTGGTCTGGAAAGTGGAAATAAGCTTCTTGTAAAGTTATAGCATTCAGATTCCTGAAAAAATGTGTTGTATAAAATGTAAAATAATACCTAAAGTAATAGTAGGAGACTAAACATCTCAGGAATCACTGTGAAGTTTTCAAATATGAAATTATTAAACAATCTATGCCAAGGGATATATAGCTAATAAATACTTCAAGTATCTAGCCCAAATCCCTCCCAATTTTACATGTGATTTTATATAAATTTGTAATGTAATTATTTAAAATTGAACAATTTCTTATCTTGCACAGTGTGTGAATAAAAATCTGTCACATACTACTATAAAGAAGAGTTGCCTGCAGAAGAAGATAAATCTCTACTGGAGATTCTTTCTCTGATTTAACAAATAATTTAGTTATTTTTATGCGACATTGACTGCAATTATAAATTACCAAATTTATATCTTTGTATTATAAATTTCAAAATGAGATAAAACCCAATTAGTTGTCAAACTGTTAGAAAATAGCTTCAGTTTTGATACATTTTATCACACTCTGCCTAAGATTCAGCTATTGCTTCATGTACCTAAATTTAAAAATCATCTCCACTCTTTAATTAGGTCATTATGTCCACAGGGCCTGTAAACTCACATTTTAAAATAATATGGTGGTTTCAGATGATTTGAGTAGGAGTAGCCTTTAATTATTTGCTTACACAGAGAAAGAATAGCCTATTTGTTTTTGTTTAATGCTTAGTTCCTTTAAAATTTAAAAAAAAATATTTCTCTCACTTACTTTTTTCCTTAAGCATGAATTTGAACCTAAAATTTCAACAAAGGATGTAAGCTATTTGCTATCGTCTTTCTTATGTGCAGTCGTCCTCCTTATCCATAGATGATATGTTTCAAGGCCTCCAGTGCATGCCTGAAACCATGAATAGTACTAACCTCTATATGTACTCTACTGTACCTCAATAACCTCTAGTTATTTTGTTCCTTTTCATTCCCTAGCACTCACTCATGATCTAGAATCAAATCATAGAATTTTTCATCTAGAAATCACACTAGGGCCTTGCTACTTAAAAAAGTGTTCAGAGACCATTATTATACCAAGGTATCACATACAGTTCTGTAAAAATGCAAAATTTCAGGTATATCCCAACCAGAATCTGTATTTTGACAGGAACCCGGGAGAAATCATAAGGTCACAGAAGTGTTAGAAACTGTCCTTAAGGTATTGGCACTGGCTAACTTTTTTGCCCCTTTCTGGCCCTAAGCAGGTAACATTTGTGCCTTTTTATGAATCATTTCTCCTAGCCTAGCTTATCTCTATATAGGGTATATTTGTTACTTGAACTCAGTCAAGCGAAAAGTTGGAAAACAGAAAAGATAGGGTCTGAGGGAATGCCCCAATGTGTCCATGTTGATTAGTGGGTCACATTCAAAAGTTGCTGGTCAAAGATAACAATAGTAATGTGTTTTCCATATATGAGAACAAGGGAAAGGAGGTGGGGTGAGGAGGGAGAGAGAGAAAAAGAGAAAAGGAGATTATTGGATAGATAGTTATGTAATCTTACTTCCTTGTTTTGCAGTTGGTAGAACCCTTAACTCCCAGTGGCACGGCACCCAATCAAGCTCAACTTCGTATTTTGAAAGAAACTGAACTAAAGAGAATAAAGGTCCTTGGCTCAGGTGCTTTTGGAACTGTTTATAAAGTAAGTAACACACACACACACACACACACACACACACACACGTACCATCATTTATTTAAATTTTGTTTCAGACTTTTCAAAAAAATAATAGACAAAGTAATTAATTTAGCCAACCTAATTTCCTTTTAATATTCAGAGAGGAGGACCTGTATATTATTGAGAAGTTCCTGCACAAATGAATTCATTAATTTTTATTGAACAAGCTGGGATAAATACAGTCTTGAGAGAAAGCAGGAAATGCTGATATAAAGACAAATGTAGTTTGTTCTCTCAGTGCCCTTCGAGTCCCTTTGAAAATTGTCCTCCCTTTGACAGATCTCCATTTCTCTTAAAAATACCTTGAACAACCCATTTCCCCTTCCTGCTGCACAGCGCTCCATGAAATCTCACTCATGTCAGGACAAAGTACTGTATCTTCTTGCTCTTCTTTCTTTCCTCTCTTTTATCTGTAAGCGTACTTATCAGAACTCTACCATCTGATCTCTTTCGAACCCACTTGAATGTCTTGATCTGTTAATAGGCTAGAAGTGCATTTTAAGCCATTTTGGCTGCCTTTTTACATACATAATTTATTAGTTAATGCTCATCATTTTGATTTCCTGTCCATTATGTGCAAACTAAAAATTAACTTTATATGAGAGATCCAGGCCTGCTAGGAGAAAGGGATAACATTATGAGTTTTCAGTAAGAGGTATTTTCTGAAAGGGAAAGCTCAAATGATAGCATTTGCCTGTTTACATATTTAGCTTAATTATAAAACCAATCCAGAGGCCAGGCCCAAGGTTAATTATAGAAATATTTATTGTGATGGTAAATAGCAAGAATAAAAGTGTCTACTGGGTCAATACTGATCCTTTTTATAACAACCTTTACTGTAGTTCTGGAAATTTATTTTCAATAAGCTGAGATGAATACAATCTTGAGAAGAGGCAAGAAATACTAGTACAAAGAATAAGGAGATATAATTGGGGAAGTTCTGCTGTATGCCAATGGACAAGTCAATAGAAAGGTATTAGAGCCTCTTTCTCTTATGACACATTAATAAAATTTAGTGCAAGACAAATGTATGTGCTTATGGAAAACAGAGCCAAAAATACACGGCCAGTTTTAAATGTCTTATAACAAACTTTCATTTTTAAAATAACTCAGTCTTGAATTGTTTCTAAATTATAATCACCTTCATAGTTTTTTAAAGATAATATGGTCTGGAAAATAAATTTTATTTTAAACCATGGAGACTTAATAATTCAAGACTAAATACTATTTAATGGCTTCTGCAGAGGAAATGCTAGCATTTAAAAATATACTTTAATGATATTTCTACTAAAAACAATGATTTTTTAAAATGAGTATTTTATTTTAATTAAAATTATGTGTAATTAAGCTTTTTGGAAGTTCTATGAGTTTGTTTGAATTTTATGCCTGGAATGTGTATGGTTAATCTTCAGTATTAATCAATAAAGCAATGATTATGAAATATACTACAATGAAATTATATAAAGGATTATTCTTAACCACAGAAACAAAAACTGGTAAATTATTTGTTAATTTTTTTCCTCCCAAATGGAGATATGCTGTGTATAAGCATAAAATATTAGAACCGATATGATAGATAATAATATAGTTGAGTTTTTATCTGGTCATATCTGAAAAATAAATTCTCACTGAATTCATATTCTTATTTTAAAATATTTTAGGAATATCTTAATATTGATGTGATATCTTTATGAAGTAACTCTGTAGTTATTTTCTTGAATAATAACAAGTGTATTCTCCACCATAAATTCCATCAGTGAGAAACTGTAGACCTATTGATATTGGGTTCATATATTTTTATTTATTTCTGTTTTAATTTATTTTTAAATTTTATAGCACAAAGAGCTCAGAATATTACCTTGCATTTGACATATACATTTGCCTATTGGTTCTGCATAAAAAATGTGACCTTTAATTTACCTTCCAAAAGTTAAAATAGTTTTCCTTTATTAGTTGAGTCAGGAGGTAGCTAAGAATTGACAACAGAGAGAAGAAAGGGCTCACCCTGGAACTCAGTTTCTCAGCTAGAGCCACATTCTAAGTTAAACATTACCCCAGTATAGTCAGGTCTAAATATACTGGGAAGAAGAAACCAGATAACTTAGGTTATACACCCTAAATCTCCCAGTCCCTGGCTGGGCCCTAATTAATAACCATGTCCTTGACTATGCAGTTTTGATATACATCCCTTCGGTTCATTTCTCCGAAGGCCACAAGATGTCAAAAGCTCCACTGGCTGACCAAAGACCAGAGCCAAATCATTCATTGGCATGAGCCTAACCTCAGACTAACCCCTCAATTCTTCCCAAAACTCTAATTCTAAAAATCTTCAACACCAAAACTCCTTCACGAAGTGAGATCTTCTCACTGGCTGGCTCCACCTCATGGAGGGCACTTTGACTTGGATGCTTCTCGGGGTGTCCTGCTGGGTTCTTTATTCAAGACCCCAAGAACATGGATCCAGTAACATTAGGATTTGGCAGCATTGTGCTTATCTTTTCAGAATGCTGCAATTTTGCTTAACACATATATATTATGTTTTACTGTATTAATCAAAGAGAAAAACTTAAAGTCTTTTGTTTTTAAATGACCACAAGCACCTGATATTAAGAAAATACGAAGTATAGATGATCTGTTCAGGAACAACAGACTATATTTGTCTTTATTGTTAAAGCTGTATTGAGAAGTTTTGTTAATGTCAGGATTAATAAGTTAAAATCTGGAGCTGGAGATGGTAGCTCAGGGGCACAGCACCTGCTTAGCAAGCTTGAGGTCCTCAGTTTGTCACCCAGTACCAAAAAAATACATTACAAATAATAATAAGCTAAAATCTGAAATATTTTTCCCTCGTGATTTCATATTTGCTTCTGTGTTCATTTGGGCAATATGCTTTCTGAAATATATTCTTCCATGCATCCTAGTATATCTTATCAAAATTATTATCCTCATTTAAGTGTGTCAGTTCAGTTTACTCACAAATGCTAATACTTAAAGTTTTACATTACTCAAATATCATCAACTTTATTATTATAAATTGTATTCTTTTCCAGTATATAGATGCTGTGCAGTTGTTATGTTCTATAAGTTACCAGAAGGTATTAACAATGGTCAATCTAAATATTTTATGTTGACTTCAGAAGTAGTAAAATTTTCACATACACATAGAATGTAATAATATAGACAAATTAATGTGCTCAATATTCCCTCGTATGTGCCTTTGAAAGCTAACTCTAAAATAATTACCTTTGAAAAATATGTCTTAAATCAGTCTGAATTTGAAGAACATATGACTCTGCTTGTGTTTGAGGATAGATAATATTAAAGCTGAAAAGAATCTCCAGTGTTACTTAGCCCATTCTTCTAAACCATAGTTGAGACAGTCAGAATTTTAAAAGTATAATAGCTTTCTGAAAGTCTTGAGAAGACTGTGATACCATCCAAATTATACTGTTTATTCTGTTTCTGTGCTTTCTTCACTATCCAGTTTTTTCTCACGCATATAAGTTGAAATCCATAGAAGTGTAAACACTTTGAAAGCAGATATATATGTCATTCATCGTCACATAATAAAATTAGACAATAAATATATAGAATAACTTGTGACATATAACCGGTACTAAATATTGATTGAAAGAAAGAATATAGAACTTTAAAGTTAATTAATAGGTTGAGACATTAAGTCAAATTTTATTTCTGTTACAAATGTTGTATATGTCTTAATGTAGATTTAATGTGATTTGTTTTTCCTGAAGGGTATTTGGGTTCCTGAAGGAGAAACAGTGAAAATTCCTGTGGCTATTAAGATTCTCAATGAGACAACTGGTCCCAAGGCCAATGTTGAGTTCATGGATGTAAGTACCTTATGCAATTACACAGTGATATTTTTATCCATTATTTCACAGCCTGCTTTGAGAGTTGAAAAACAAAAGCATACAAATGTTACAAAGGTTCTTCTTGGGAAATCATGTATTTTATGAATGAAAATTCTAAGACCCCATTATAGTATAACTTGTAGATCACCCCTGCTTCACAATTATATGTCTAGGTACTGCTCTAGAAGTTAGGTTTGAAATTCGAAGATATTTCAAATCTTCAAAGTGAATTATCTTCTGTAAACCAAGCATTTAATGTTCTCATTTTTTACTGGTAAATAGAGCCAAACATATTTTAAGTGAAAATAATCCATAATTTGAAGTGAAAAATGTATTGAACAACCATCAATCACTACTTACATTGAACAATCAGGTGTCGTGAAAGGATTTCTTAAAATTAGTTACACTCAATTATATAAAAAGGCCTATGTTATAGTGTTAATGGTAAGTCACTAATATTTACAAAATGCTTAGAAAGTGCTAAGGTCTAGGTAATAAATAATATTTATGAAGTATTAATTATTCAAAATAATTTACAAATAGTTATTCATCTAATTCTGTTAGCATAATAGCCCAGGTTAACTCAAGGTCTCAAGTTTAGGAGATGGCCAATTTAGCCTTCCAGCAGATGCCTAGCCTTGGGAGGTTCAGTAAATATTTTCTTAAGTAGCCATGTCTTCTCTGTGACAGCTCTGATCTCTTTGGTGGAAAATCATTCATAGGTAATTAAGACAAAGCAAGACAAATAAACAAGCCAGCCAAAATGTGATGGGCATGCCTGTGTTCCAGTAAGGCTCTCTTTACACAAACAAGACATATACCAGATTTGGTTAGAGAGCCAGCCACTGCTTTTAAAAACCATGTGTTTAACTAGTATGGCAAATTATGTTTTGGGAGTAGTGATTATGATTCGAAGAATTAATTAAGCTGTTTTACTTTATTATGGTTAACAATTTGAAAATGAGATTAGTTTCAATAATAAAGTAATCTTCTGCTAAATTTCAGTTTGGAATCTTAATCTGATAATTTCCAATTGAAATATAATTTTTGCCAATTTCAAGTTTACGAGACAGAAGTCTGTAAGACAAAAAGATCCCAACTATAGAAGAATAAAGGAGTTCTAAAGAATGAAAGTACTTTTATAAGGTTAATCAGAACTTTAAGATTTTTCCTGAAGCAAAAACTGTAGATTGAGCTATTCAGCAAATCAGAGAGCAGGATGGAATAAAATTTTATATGTAGCATGCTGTTACTTTTTTATATTCAAAACAAGATATCTTGCCAGGGATTCTAGAAAAGAGCCATATACATTCTTTCTCTATTTTTTACCATAATTTCCTCAGTCATAAGAATGATTTTGGTTTTTCAGTGACTTTTATATGAAAGATGATACAAGCATATTCACTTTGATTTTTTTAGATGGATTGCTATATATTCTACACAGTTTTTCTTTAAAGCTCTTTTGTATATTTTACAAGAGCTTGGTCTCTTACCTTGAAAAATTTATTTGAGTTTAATACTGAGTACCTTATGTAAGGCAATTTTAGCTTAACTTTTTTTATCAGTGATTGTATAACAGAGCTGATAATCAGCAGATACAAAATAGTTGCTCTAAACAGTTAATTCTGTGAATTACTAGTTTTGAAATACTTAATATCATCCTTGTTGCTTATCTGCCCACACCTATCTAATCAATACTGTGTCCAGTAAGTACTTACTATTTTCTTTGGTGGGTCTTTAAATGTATTGACACTTCTTGCAGTTACATGTCTTGGCTCATGTACTTGAATTCAAAACGGAGGTCTTTTGCAGTGATGTCTCAATTATTTGATTTTATTTGACAATAGCTATAAATTTGAAAGTAGAAATTATAAAGAAAAATTACAGCAAGTAAAAATAGTGTAGGTTAATATATAAAACTGATAAAGAAAATGATCTTCTTCAGTCTAGGCTGCAGCCAAAGCTGAAATTCACAAGAATGCTAATAATCTCTCCTGGAGGCTTGGACAACCATTTTTGTCATATTTCCATGGGAACAGACTGGCAAAGGGGGTTAAGAGGCTACAAAATAATCACCTAAAAAGGAAGCTCTAAAAACCTAATCATGATTTTGAATGATTATTTGAAAGCTACTAACCCCATCCCTTTCTTCCCCCTTGACCTGAAGCCTATTTCCATGGAAACGGAAGAGGGAATGGCAGCTTGCACTCTTAGATTTCTGCTGAATTTTAGATGAGCCTCTGATTGAGCCATGAGAGGAGTCATTTTCCTGGATGGTAGATGGATTTGGCAACCAAAAGACTCCCCCAAAAAACTCTCCTTTTTTAATGTTAAAAAATTAAGGAAAATATTTTGACTGTGCCTCTCCTATTTGTGAATAGCTGCTTGAAAATTAAAAGATTGACGGACTGCTATCGGCAATTTTGATTAATTCCAGGCAGAAATACTTCCTAGTATATTGGTGACTCGTTTTAAAACTTTGGACAGATAGCATTGCAATGATTAAAACAACTTAACTGTTAAATTGATGGCAAATTCAATATTTTAATTCAGCTGGTATGATTAGAGCTACTTTACCTTCATATTCAGCTTATCTGTTGTGCGCAAATGTTATTATAACTCTTTGTAGAACACATCAAGCCACAATAAAAAGTTTGTAGAAGCAAAATTATTTGTAACTTGAGCCTAAAGATTAAGTTGAAATTACAAATATCCCAGAGTTACTAAGTTAAAAGTAATATGTTGACATAGATCTTAGTTTAGGTTCTTTGAGAAACAGAAGCTACTCAAGAAACAAGGATATGACTGAAAGAAACACAATTTGGTGGTAGAAGACTCATTATGGTGGCAATAAGACAGAGGAAACAATCTGCTATTCTGAGTGATTCAATCTTGTGAGAGACACTGGTAGCCAGTGTAAGACACACTTGCGAGTTACCCTCCTCAAGGTTTCAGGGAGCTGTGAACCATACACCAGCTCCTGTCTGTCATTTGAAGCGAACTAGGAGAGAACACTTACTGCCCCTATGGTCTAGATGCCAAGGGTGGAAAACATTCTCCAGTGGCAAGAGAATGTCCATGCATGAAAGAGTTACACAAATAAAACTGAAGCTATCAAGTTGGAGTTCCTGTTGACCATTTCTTTGTTCTAAATAGTGTAGTGTACATATTATATACAATTCTTAGCAACTGGTTTATCTAACAGCCTAGATGCAGAGGCAGAATTTTATTGCTAAATGAGGAATGCACACACACACACACACACACACAGAGCTGTGCTGTACTGGTTACTATAACGAATGGCACAAATGAAACAATTTAATAGTCAAAACTCATCATCATGTCCAACATTTTTTTTGATACCTAAGGGCAAAGGGGAGGACTTTTATATTTTCTGAGAATTTTTTCCATAGGAAAAAAAATAGATATGGAACAGTTTGTAATCTACCAAATATTATACTAAAAGCAAGAGAATTTTTGGTCCCAAGGCTGTTTCTTAGCTCACTTGAATATATCTAATGGATTCATAATGACAGTAATAACACACTGAGAGTGAATGGCCAGTACATTCTTCCTTCCCATAAAAGAAGATCACATTGAATAACATTAAGAAAATGTCCCTAAAGTCCACCTTTGTAAGAAGGATGACTGCATTTACACATGCTCCTAGATCTTATTTCAGTAGTACAATTACATTGGGAAAATATAGGCTTTTTGTGGGGGTATTGCTGTTTTTTTTTTAAATCCATCTAATGGTTAAGAACACATACCTAAGCAATGATATTATTGAGCAGGATTCCTGGAACAGGAAACCATGTCTGGTAAAATGACACAGGCTCTTAGCCTTTCTGAGTTCCCATCACTCAGTATTTTCCCCCTGAAATTTAAGCCTATTATCAGTTGACATTGTTTTTCAATGTTTTACTTAAATTATTTGTTTCCTTAAAAAATAAGCTGGGACCAAAGGAATTCTGTAATTATCCTAAATTCCAGTGAGAAACAGTGTTGGCTTTGTCTTTATGTGAACTTACCGGGCTTCAATTTCAGTTCCCACACCAAGATCACCACATGGTTCACAGTAGGTGATAAAAGAGAATGTGCTTCACATTACCCAACTTCATTGTGTAAATGGCAGTACTCTTATTAAATAACTTATTTTTCTCTACCTACACTGTAAGAAATTTTATTTATCTCACATCACTTATTTTTCTGTTTTCTGAAAAAAAGTTCACAGGCTTGTGTTTCTGTTTCTTCTCTATATCGCCTTTATCATATTATCTTAATTGGAGTTGTTTTGATGCTAGTTGAGAGCAGTGGTTTGAGATGAATAAAATTTAATAGTAATTGAAATATTTTCTTAAATTATAACAGACTTTCAAAATGGTTTGAAAAGCTGTTTTGTTCTATAACATTGTCACATTACAAAGTTTCCTGTGTGTGGATTCATACAGTCAACTGTAACTTTTAGCGAGATCCTATGTTATACTAATGGGGGATATTTAAAAACTCATGTCATACTGAGTGATTTTTTTAAAAATTCACGATTGAATCTAGTTATATCTTTTGCTGTTATAGGTTTTCTTCATTTACATGAATTAATATACTCATCTCTTTCAAGTGTGAATAAATTCATATTTTAAGGCCCATTACTGGTCACGGGTTCCTTTACTGTTAGTGTGATCTTGAACAGTGGATTAACTAGTCATCTTTTTTTTTTTAAGAAAGCCTGTAAGTAAAACGATTTTCAGTGGTTATACAGAGTGTACTTGCTTTTAATAGTAAAATATTATGTTTGACAAGAAAAGCTTTAAACTTCATTAGAAATAACTTAGAGTCTTTTCAATCTTTATTAAAACAAGAGAGGGAGAAAGAAGGGAGGAATGGAAGATGAAAAAAGAGAAACGGAGGGAAAGGAAACAGAGAAAGGAAAGAAGATAGAAAAGAAGAAACGGAGAACAGAAATAGGAAATTCCCAGTAA